TGAATTGAGGTGACATTTTATTGCTGATTATTAGAAAAAAAATTATTATAGCATTTTTCCAGCATCACATTTTATTATATTTGTTTCACTTGGAGATGCCCTTATCCAGGGTGACTTACAATGTACAGTATGCTGTAGAACTTTGACATTAAGTGTAAATAAAAGGAACAATGCTGCAGGTACAATGATAGAAATACAACAATATTATAATGTAATATTATTCTTATCTAGCAATATAAAAGAAAAAATGCATAAAGAGATAAGCTAAAAACCACAGAGTGAGAACTTTATTGGTCCTCTTTGTTCTACCCTCCTAAATTTCTGACAAAAAGGTTGTATATCTGAGAACTGACTGGTTTCTGTTCGCCTTCATTCCCCCCTACAAAGAAATGTAGTGTGAGGTTAGCATCCTGCTGTGAACGTTGATTGGACAGTGGTTAGCCTTGCAGCACTGAGGGCGTGGATTCCATTTCACCCTGGGGTGCTGCCTGTCTGGAGTTTTTCTTTGTTCTCCTCGTCTTCGGTTGTAGATATTAATATGAGCATTTCTAATTCATCGTAAAATTTGGCTGGATAGGTTATCTCCAGGTGAAGCTCGAAGGTGACAGCCGGTTAAACTGCCGTGACAGCAACTGCAATAATGGAGTTTTAAACAACATTCACAAGATGGTCCAAACCAAATGTCTCCCCTTTTGTAAATGTCATACCACATCCACAGCCAGCCCTACTGACCCTTGACCGTTCAAGCAATGGATAGCGAGCGACCGGCCCCTGGTTCCTGCACCACTTCCGCGTGGCTCTCACTAAGCCGGCCTCAACATCCCCACTCTTTCCAACAGCTCTGGAAATTGGTCAGATGTTCTTTGTGGTTTCTTGAGGAATCCCCAGGCATCATGTTTCAAAACTCTGAAGTTGCTGAGTTTAAAGCTCTAAGGAGGCCTGTCTTTCAGAAGAATTCTGCCTCAGTGTTACAGGGCTGTCATTTGTACCCCTTTTTTACTTTCTATGAAACACACAAACTTTGTGTCCCGGTGCTCCTATTTTCCTGGCTACAAGACATGCTTCTAAAGCTTCCTTTAGCCTTGACTTTCCTTCTTATACCTCCATTCTGCCCCCATTCACATTTGATCTTAATTTTTCATCACTTAAGAATTCTGCATCTGCATTATGGGGTCTCTCTTATTTCTCCTGGGGGTTCTGTCCCATAGGAAAGAATGGGTGGTTGTTTGCCTCAGCCAGGTGAGTGACCCCAGCAAAGCTCACAATCTGAATCACACCTCTTCTTAACCGGGGATTGACTGAAATACTGAAATAGAGTTTTAAACAAAAGGTCAAAATATGTTCGTTCCGGCTTCTTTCTGGCTGTGTAGAAATAGCATACTTCTTGCTTAAAAACATGCATTTTGTTTTCTCATTCCTCCCTCCAAATCATCTTCACCTTTGCAGCAATTCTATGGTTCATTCTTTATTATGAAAGGGTTGTTCCGACAGCCTCATCTCTAGAGATGGGTTGTCATTGTCTGCAGCTGGGTGAGTTACCCCAACAAAGCTTACTATCCCAATTGCACCTCTTCTCTGCCTTAATTGGGGAAAGACTGAACAACAGCAATAGTGCAGAGAGCCATTTTCAACACAACAATCATTATGAGTAAATCAACAGGACATGTCTTGACTGCTCCATGACTGTGTCTTTCCCACGTTACACTGCCACTTCTGTCTTTAGGGAAACTGATCGTTATACAGTAAGGGCACCAACCATGCCTGAAACACATCCCCGCAGTTTACTAAAAGAGGCCATTAATGTACCAGCATGTGAAACTGCATGACAGAACTGAAGCCTTGGGGATAAGAATCCAGCACTTTAGAAGGGAGGCGATGTTTCACATTGCTTTAGCCCACTCTCTGCCTCTCTGGATAAAGGATTTTAGATTTTTTTTCAGATCTGAGAAAAGTAGCTTAATTTTAATTTTGATTGAGTGCTCTCCAGTGTCATGTAGTTCCAGATTATTTTATCTGTGTCAACGAAACCCAGGGTTGACAATACTGTATTTTTTCAAAGGAGCGGATGAGTGTGTAAACAACTCCACTATCTGCGGTCCACATGCAGCCTGTTCTGCCAGTTCAACAAGCTACAGCTGCTCCTGTAACACTGGATACATCCCTCCATCTGAAGTCAGTCTTATAAGCAACAATAACCCATGTCAAGGTAAGACCTCTTTTAATAAAACTGCGCACTTTAAATTTGGGACGATCCAAATAAACAATTATAAAACTTGTGATTGAGACTGCTTGTGTGAGGTGAGTGAAGATAACAGAGGACCAACATTATTAATTTAGGCTCTTATCTTAGTAGTATCTCAGGTGTCATAGGCAGGTGATTGAGTTGATTGGAACAATTTAATTTCAATCCATCTGTACAGTTAAGACATTGGCATGTGTTCCAGATATAATCCTGCTGTCATTCTGTTTACATTCCTATATTAAATCTAGTTCATCATGGTAATTGGTGCACAAATCCATGTGAATTTGAATGAATGAATCAGTAACAGGAACATTTTCAAAATTATCCTTAATCTTTTGTATAAAGCTAAAACAATCTGGAGAGAATGTTTTTCTTGACTGAATAGGAGATCACAGCATTCAAATCAGTCTCTTCTATGCTACACCTGGAATGTGCTAGGACCCCCAGATAGCCTGAGATGAGATAACATTATAATTTCACGTTCCTGTGTATAAATAAATAATCTCTCGCTACCCACAACTCTGAACATCTTTTGTAGTTCCCCTCCATCAACCCCATCTTCACCCATGCAGCTGCCTCCCTGGTTCATTCCTTGGAAGTAAAAAGGGCTGTGACAATGCTGATCTTCATTTCCTCTGCCAAGCGAGTTAACGCCAACTTTAAAAAGTTGCTATTTGCTCTTATTTGCCGACTTGTCATTCTGAAAATTTGACAAAACTACTGAACTGGATGGTGCTGAGAAACCTGTGATTCTGGAAAGCGTGTGTTGCTGAGATGCAATCCTATCAAATAATCCAGTCAAATTAAACCATTTTTATAGGCACATTTTATGTTTCATTTCATGTTTTGAATACGTAACTGATCATTCTGTGGGTATTATAAAGAGAGTTCTAACTCTTGAAATTATTCAAATGGTTAAGTTATTACTTATACCTTTAAACACACTCCAGGACCCTATCTCTCTGGGTTTTTCCTCTTCCAGAGAAGACTGTATGGACTCCTTCCACACCGAGATTTTCCTGAGGAGTTCCTACAGTACTCCTTGCACTAACTTACACTCACTCTCTACCAGGCAAATGAGTACTCATAGTGCCCAGTTGTCTCTCAGACTGTTCACTTACTTTACTTGCTACGTAGTACACTAGGCATAGAAACGGCTTAGTCCATCCTAACAATGCATGGTTTCACAGGAAATTCCATTCACTCCATTGCCAAAAACTCAATCAGTCCAATTGTGCCTAATTCTGCTGCAGCTCTCAATTACTCAGGCAGCCACCTTGGCTCAAGAATTAACTTCAGTTGAGCCAAGATGGTGGGTCCTTCACAGAGCCACTTCTCACTATATCATATACTGTTTTTAAAAGAAACTGGTGCTCCATCTTTTATTTTCTCTGTTCCAGCACAAGTTCATTTATCAACTCTTTTTAAGTTCTGAAAGAACAGTCACAGGTCATAAATGCAGTGTGTCTATTCCTTCTTCAGAAAAAAGTAGAAAAGTTGGCTGCACAGAGTTGGAGTGCACCAGTAACACTTTGGACTGGACTACTTTCTTACCTTCGAGAGAGATGAAGGATTTTAGTTGTTGTACCTTTGCTAACATTACAATTTGCAATATGAACCTTTAGTTAAACTGACAATTTTATGATTTGAAAAAGACAATGTACAGCTCTTTAGACAATGTTGAAGATTTGAAGCATGTATTGGATTTCTGCAGAACGTTATGTGTGTGCAAACAACCCCACAATCTGTGGTCCAAAAGCCCAATGTGTGGACATGGGTACGAGTTACAAGTGTACCTGCGTTCCTGGATACAGATGTGCTGAACAACACTATATGGCCAGTGTGACAAATCCCTGTCTAGGTGAGTTAACAGCTGGGTTTAATGCTTTTGTACACATGATTTCTCATTGAAACTAACTGGAAATTAAGGTGCTCATTTACATTTAGATGCTCAAACTTTACTGAATGAAAAGGTCATACACAAGAACAACTGGAATCTGGCCTCTTTATATTTTTTGATCTATCAATAAATGCACAAATGATTTTCCAAAGATTCCAGTCTGTGGCTTTCCACATTTAACCCAATGATTTTAAAATAACCAGCACAAAAAATATGTTAATTATACTTACATTTACATTCAAAATGAATCAGACAAGTATTTCTATGAGAGGTAATGGACTTTTTGACTACAATTGCAGTGTGAAATATGAGCTGGTTTCAATGGATAGAAGTGATTAATATTTGGTTCGCAGTTAGAACGAGCTACTGGAAGATAATACACTTTCTAAACAAGTCTCTTCTGATTCTACTTCTGAGACATTCTCATATTGTGGAAAGCACTAATTTAACACAGTACTATGATTTGCCAGTTCTTGAAACAAACTGAAAAAATCAGTGGGTTTTTCCTCCCTTGCCTCCATTGCTACAGCAATGTTATATCCTAAACAGATTTCCCTAAAGGGAACTTTTACATTCTGAAGTTCTCAATGGAGTCAGTAGTCGTTGAGCTTCTTTCAGTCTGTTGAAAAACACCTAAAACTGACAACTGATGTTTAGAAAGATGGCCTGTGCTTCCTATAGGGCTCCTATAGAAGCATAAATATCTTGAGACATTTAACAACAAATTCCTGAGGTTTCTACCTTTGGAGTGTACGATAGAGGTTGCAATTATAAAGTTTCATATACTTACCAAATGTCATGGATTGTCTTCAGACATTGATGAGTGTACAAGCCCCTCAATCTGTGGCCCAAATGCAGAATGTTTCAACACTGCTGGGAGTTACACCTGCTCCTGTAACACTGGATACACACCCCCTGCTGGAGTCACTCTGACAAACAGCACCAGCCCCTGTCAAGGTGAGAACCGAGCTCTTCTATTAATACCGTATTTCATATCCACTATAATAAACAGGGAGAACGGAGCCAAGAGGGATAGATTCTCATGAAGCAATGAGGGAGTATAAATAATTTCATGTTTCCGCATTTTTAAAATTAGTCTTGATGGCAAAAATGTAAATGATCTCATGAACCATATTCACGCATGTTTTTAAATTAATATGTGTTCAGTCGACAAGTGTGAAAACTGCTAAATAACATAAAAATGTTGAATGATACATCTGCAATGGGCTGTATGGTAACAGTCCAATCCGTGTCTTTCTGTAAATGACTTGAGGTCCTATGACATTGGTAGAGCAGTAGCAAGGCGGGAGTGGGAGGAGCCGTGACGAACACCGCTAAATGTCTACGCCCTGTCTGAGGGGGCGGAGCCACTGGTGTGAGCTTAGGAAAAGCCTGAAAAAAAAAACAAAAAGGAAAAAGACAAATATGCCTCTTTGACAGAGGGGACCAGGCTGAGAAAAAGAACCGCTTGGTACGGGGTAAATCCAGCCTGGACGCCGCTATCTAATGGGGTCCAGCCTGGAAGAAAAGAGAGCCAAATCTGTAATTAATTAATTATTAATAATAAGGGCATTCCGCTTACATCACAATCCACTCCAAGATTATTGCTGGAAGGGCGGACTGCAAGTCTGCTCGTCCCTCCGGGGCCCTGTTCAGTGTGCTTTTTAAAGATCCCCCATGAGCTGAGGCTCATTCTTAATCAGCTAGGGCAGCTGTGGTTGCTAAGGCAACACATTGCCCTTAATCCAGGGCTCTGCCTTCACACTTAAAAAAGCCTCGGCATAATTCCAACAGAGCCTATGTTCAATACATTGGCATCACAAGATATGATAAGATCACTTTATTGGCCATATACAATTTCTTGCATTAGGAATTTGTCTTTTCACATACCCCGGCTTGCTCTCCATGAGACACACAGGCAGGGAGAAAGAAGCTTGGGGTCAGAGCGCAGGGTCAGCCATTTATACAGCAACCCTGGAGCAGTTGGGGTTAAGGGCCTTGCTCAGGGGCCCAACAGACTCTGCCGGCTGCAGGATACGAGCCAGCAACCTTCCAGCAACAGGCACAGATCCTTAGCCACATTGCCACCACTCCATATAGGACACAGCAGTGCCGGAACAGATTTGGACACTAGATGGCAACGTAAAGTGTCCTGTGCCATAATATTTACTTCTGTCTGTAGCTGTGAATGAATAACACATTAGTATAGGAGCTATGACTGGTTTATATATAAATACAGCCCTCATATTTACACTTTCATGTTTTTTTTATTTTGTGCTTGAAGATTTCTTGTATCTTTTCATCAATGATCTATCTGATTGTGCTTTACCTTATTGCCTACTGTCCTTAGTCAGAATCTGTTTCAAATCTATATCAATGTGAGATATGAAGACAAATACTCTTTACATAGATAAAACTACTCTTCAGGATCCTTGGTTCAAATCTTATCCTTAAATCCTTAGTTGGCCAGACCGAACTGTGCATGAGAAGCCTTATAATCCAATCCTTTTATCTGAAATTAAATCAAATCTAAATTTGTCTGCCTTAGGAATTTAAGGTTCACAACTGATTCATTGTAGCAAAGTTTTAGCCTTCTCAGAGTAGGAGGTTCACACCAACAAATCAGGAATTATAAAATATTCAACCACACAAGGTATGGAAAGGGGGTCTGTATTTGATTATGAAGTGCCAATGTGCACGGCTTAAGATGATTAGGTGATCAACACAAATACGTATGTTTTCATGGTTAAAAATCCTCTATAAATCCATTAACACACAGCTGAGTATAATGGAACTGTACAAACAGACTGGGACACTAATATTTTGATAACTTTGATTTTTAAAAGATGTCGATGAGTGTGAAGTTAATCCCTCAATCTGTGGTCCAAAAGCACAGTGTACCAATGCTATTGGGAATTACAGCTGCACCTGTGACACTGGATACACACCCCCTGCTGGAGTCATTCTGACCAGCAGCTCAAACCCCTGTAAAGGTAACATGTTGCTGCAAGTTACATGAAAAAAATAATTACGCAATGGTTTCACAACAACAAATGAAAAGTCCACCAATGGTAATCTGCACTTCCTGATTCACTAGAAGACCATGAAAAAAAGAGTTTCCTATTTCTAAACTGGCAAGTACAAAAGAAGGAAAGCTATAACGAGGCTGACTCTGAAATGAGGGTGTTTTCTGTTTTTCTAATTTGTTAATCTTTCAGTAAAATCAAGATGGTTCTTTTTGGTTTTGACCATTTGATATGTTAACATGTAGCTGACATAACAGGAGACCTAAACAGTGTCGACCTCTCTCACAGCTGTTTTGAGAACAACTGAATTCAAGATTCAGTGTTGACTGCAGTCCTCTAAAATTTATTTTGAGTCTGTGATTCCGTCTAGTTAGCTAAAGAGCGCAGATTAAAATATAAGATCATAAAAACATTTAACATATGCCAAGTATTTTTGTAGCAAGCAAGAATTCTTCCCTTAATTTTAAGATATGGTGCCTCGAGAGGTCTTGGTGTTATTTTTCCAAAACAGCACCTTTTTGGTGATCAGGCATTGTAAAAATCCCTTACTGCAAAGCTTTGTACAACAAATCCTTAGGATTATATTGATTCTCCGCAGATCTTGATAAATGCATCCAGTCTCCACTGATCTGTGGTCCAAAAGCACAATCTAAATTCCAATTGTGATTCTCCACAGATATCAATGAGTGTGCAGCCAATCCCTCAATCTGTGGCCCAAACGCACAATGTGCCAACACTGCTGGGAGTTACACCTGCTCCTGTGACACTGGATACACGCCCCCTGCTGGAGTCACTCTGACAAACAGCACCAACCCCTGTCAAGGTAACATGTTGTGATGAGATATACTGTACTGTAATTCTGAGCAAATTGCACAATGGTTTCACTACAGTACTGTAAGTAATGTAAAAGAATACTCACTGGTAATCTGTAATTCTTGACACTGGTAATCTGTACAATATCTGTTGAGTTAAACAGAGAGCATTGAGAAAATAACTCCTTAAATGGAACAAGTAATAGGTTTATTCCATGCTGAAAAGACAAGAAAGAAAACACAATGTTTCGGCTGAGGACAACCTAAGGCGGCTCTGTAGCCGAAACATTGTGTTGTCTTTCTTCTCTTTTCAGCATTGAATAAACCTATTACTTGTTCCTTTGCAGCCTGCGCATTCTGACGCAGCTGCCCACCTGAACTACTTAACTCCTTAACATACTCCAGGAATTTTATTACCGCACAAAATAATCTTCCTAATGTTTTCTTTCAATTTTTAAATTACAATTACTTGAAATATAATTAGGACTTATTTTCCTTAAGTAAAGAAAATCCTTGGTTTTTCATGTGGCATTATAAAGCTACATACAGCACAACCAATCCTTAGGATTATATTGATTCTCCGCAGATCTTGATGAATGCATCCAGTCTCCACTGATCTGTGGTCCAAAATCACAGTGTTTCAACACTGATGGCAGCTACTTCTGTTTATGTGACATTGGATACACAGCCCCTGCTGGAGTCACATTGACAAACAGCTCAAACCCTTGTCAAGGTAAGAAGTTTCCCCAGTAGCTGCTGCACCAATGCCACATGGAACAATGGCAAAACATTTTGGTCGCAGATACTGTATAAATCTTTGAGTTTAGTGATATTCCTTAAAGTTAGCAAAGTTTTACAACGTGTCAAGTGAGTGTTCCCTGTAGTATAACCTTAAACTCATTCTATCCATAATTTTTCAATTTTTCATTATAAAAAAAATGAATGATAACCCTCCTTTGAGGTCCATGGAAAACAGGAGGATGTAGCTTCTAGTGGCCACGCTAAGAGGCAATTTAAAGTGCACAAAGATGAAAAGTCCAATACAAATTCCAATTGTGATTCTCCACAGATATCGATGAGTGTGCAGCCAATCCCTCAATCTGTGGTCCAAATGCACAATGTGCCAACACTGCTGGGAGTTACACCTGCTCCTGTGACACTGGATACACGCCCCCTGCTGGAGTCACTCTGACAAACAGCACCAACCCCTGTCAAGGTAACATGTTGTGATGTGATGTACTGTACTGTAATTAAGAGCAAATCGCACAATGGTTTCACTACAGTAAGTAATGAAATAGAATACTCACTGGTAATCTGTACTTCTTGATTTCACAGATGACAATGAATAAAAAGAGCTTCAGAAGCTTAACTGGCAAATACAAATTAAGAATGGCTGTCACGAGGCTCTGAAATTAGGGTGTTTTCTGTCTTATTTATTTGCTCATCTTTCAGTAAGATCAAGATGGCTCTTTTGTTTTGACCTTCAGACATGTCAACATGTAGCTGAAGTAACAGAGCTCAGTGGAACTAAGCATGTTCCAGCAGTGGGGTTCATGAGCTCTCTCACAGCAGGAGACCCAGTCTTCTGCTATTGCAGGTTGCCAGGCTGTCCAGGGAGAAGCTCTGTGTTGCTTTGAACCCACAAGTGACCGTGGTCGAACACCAGCAGGGGCACAGCTACCCCTTTTCGCATTGACACCACCTGAGTTTCTTTCAGAAATTATGACTGAATATTTATAGCAAGGGATGTCCCTACCTCCTGCATGTACAACCTATTTTGAGAACAACTGAAAGGAATTCAAGATTCAATGTTGACTGTGCTCCTCTTAATTGATTTTTGAGTCTGTTTCAATGTCTGTTGAGTTAAACAGAGAGCATTGAGAAAATAACCCCTTAAATGGAACAAGTAATAGGGTTATTAAATGCTGAAAAGAGAAGAAAGAAAACACAATGTTTTGGCTGTGGACACCCGAAGAAGGCTCCACAACCAAAACGTTGTGTTTTCTTTTTTCTTTTTCAGCATGGAATAAACATATTACTTGTTCCTTTGCAGCCTGCGCATGCTGACGCAGCTACCCAGCTAAACTACTTAACCCCTTAACATACTCCAGGAATTTTATTACCGCACAAAATAATCTTCCTAATGTTTTCTTTCAATTTTAAATTACAATTACTTGAAAGATAATTAGGACTTACTCTTCCTTAAGAAAAGAAACCCTTGGCTTTTCATGTGGCATTATAAAGCTACTTACAGCACAACAAATCGTTAGGATTATATTGATTCTCTGCAGATCTTGATGAATGCATCCAGTCTCCACTGATCTGTGGTCCAAAAGCACAGTGTTTCAACACTGATGGCAGCTACTTCTGCTTATGTGACATTGGATACACGGCCCCTGCTGGAGTCACATTGACAAACAGCTCAAACCCTTGTCAAGGTAAGAAGTTTCCCCAGTAGCTGCTGCGACAATGCCACATGGAACAATGGCAAAACATTTTGGTCGCAGATATTAATGCTTGAGTTTAGCAATATGGTGTAATGTTGGTGAAGGTTTCCAAAGTGTTAAACGAGTGTTGCTTATAATTTTCTTATAATCATTATATGCATAATTTGGCAAGTTAATAATGACAAAGTTTAAAAATGGCATCCTTTGAAGACACAAGTCATGAGTATTTAACTGCTAATGACCACACTCAAGGGCAATTAAAATGCACAAAGAGATGAAAATGTGATTTAAATGCAAATTGTGATTCTCCAACAGATATTGATGAGTGTGTAATCAACCTATCAGTCTGTGGCCCACATGCACAATGTATAAACAGTGCTGGGAGCTACAGCTGCTCCTGTGATGTTGGATACACACCCCCTGCTGGAATCACTCTGACCAGCAGCTTGAAACCGTGTCAAGGTAAGAACTGTTCTTCAGTAGAGCAAACTGTTTTCTGTTATTCAATGTCCAATGTCACAATGAGGAAAACTGACATGGACACAAGAGAGAAAAAAAAAAACTTTATTTTGTTTCAAAGATGGACTGCTGGATACAAAAGTACTGTAAGTCATGTTAAAACTGTATTTGTTTTATAGCACCTGATCCAAATAGAGTTGCTAATAATATTATGCACATAGTATTTTTGTTTAGTGTTTCAAGATGCATCATTTCAATATCTTACCTTTTTTGCATGGGAGGTATTTAGAATTGCTGAATATTGCTCTGATGACTAACTACATATATACTGTAATAATACATGACTGTAAATTTAGCAGATACAGTACAGATACAGTACAGTGCTCTGTAGACATATTCACCATTTTGTTGAAGTGAATATTTTTAATGAAAACTGAGCATTTCTATGGGGGAATGACTTTAAATGTTAGAGAAAAATGCAAGGAGAAACCAAAAACTATCTAGAAGATTTTACAGGTCCCCAGCTTCTTAAGAACAAAGAAAAGCTACCTCTTGTCTAATTAATGCACAACAAATGAGTTCAATTAAGTGATTAAGAGCATACTGTAGGTGGAAAGAAAAGTTTCCAAGACTGGAGTTGTGCAGCCTTGAATAAGTATTCACCCCCCTGCGTCATTTCTTAGTGGGAACACATCTGGCAGAAAATACACCTGTGAGTATTTTTGGATAGACTCTTTTTTGACATTGCTTTTTGCAGCTCCGGCTGACATGTTAATCTATAGTATCCCCCTTAGAGGTATGTAGCTGGAGCATTTAGGCTTGGGTTAGAAATATTCACTTTTGAAAATAAAGGTAAACCATTTTGGAATAAAAAATGGGAACTCAGTGGAAGGAGGTGGTTTCGTTTGCAAAGTGCATTGTGTTGAAAGTGCATTAAGGGACAGTACTGCAGATTATAACAGGGATGAAGCATTGGCGCAGTGGCTAGCATTGCTGTCTTGCAGTGCTGGAGCCCAGTGTTCAATACCTGGCATCCCATTCAGGGTGTACCTTGCCCTGTGCCCTTTGCTTGCTGTAATAGGCTCCAGGTGCCCCCTACCCCTGTGTGAGATAATGGGTGAATTATAACAATGGATTTTTCACAGACACTGATGAGTGTGCAAGTATAACTTTACTGTGTGGTCCACATGCATACTGTATCAACACTGTGGGGAGCTACAGCTGCAGCTGTTACAGAGGATACGTCCGTCCTGTTGGAATCACACTGACAAGCAGATTAAACCCATGTAAAGGTGAGTTCTGTTTTCATCTAGCTGCTCATGTTCAGCTTGCTTCATTCTTTGTAGTTTCTGCTACAAGACTTGTAACGTAAATAAAACTACCTTACAAGAAGGTACGTGACTGTGACTGGTGACTATGGATAAGATGATGCACATTACAAATGGGGAAATTGCTCATTAGAAAGTAATTCCAATGAAAACCAAAATATAACCCTTGCTTTTAATTTCAAATGCGAGTCAATACTATTCTGTCTTTACTAGTCAATACTATTCTACTCTGGTAATGGCCAGAGTGATGCTGAATTTGATTGTCTACAGACAGCTATGAGTGCGTGTACAACAGTCTTTCAGTCTGTGGTCCAGAAGCTCAATGTGTCCTCAATGACCAGACCTACCACTGCTCCTGCGATTCAGGATTCATTCCACCCGCAGGGGTCACTGTGCCAAGCTATTCGAACCCGTGTCAAGGTAGGATCTGACTTTAAGCATTGCTTGTATTCAACTCAGAAAAATAAATGCTTTTCAGTGTTCCAATTTTTAAGTTGACTCTTTGATATTGATGTTTGGTAGAAAGAAATCAAAGATTTTAAGGATTTTATTATATTTTCCCTGAACTAAATGTATTATAGTCTTATTATTGTTGTACTCCTGGGATTTTTGATTGTGACTGAATGATCACTTTTAAAAAATGTGTATGAATTATCTGAAATTTAATAATATTGCAAAAACAATAACAAGGCATTGGAGGTAACTTCTTTTAGACGAGAAATAAATGGTTATTCAAATTAGAGCTTCTGGTTTCTGGCAGTCGGTTTTATGCTTTTAATTTAAAACTCAGCGTGTGTTTAAAGAATTTGCAGATTTTGTAAAATCCTACATTTGTCTTTGCTTTTGATTTTCTAAAAGTGCATAAAGTAATTTCTCATTTTTCCCGTGAAGTAAAGTGTTTCTGTATATATCCAAACTTCAATCAGTCAGAGCTTTGATTTCTAATGTAAGATACAGAGTATATTTCAATGTTTTTTCAATAGATTCTTAAATTTGTTTACATGGGAGACAAGTTAAAAAATGGCTGTAATGTAAATTGATGTCTAAAATTCAAAACCACAATACAAATATATATGCTACAACTGCAAGAAGGGACAAAGGAGTATAACAATGACTTGGATTCTTTGCAGACATTGACGAGTGTACAAGTACACCCTTGTTCTGTGGTCCAGACGCACAATGTATCAACACTCCAGGAAGTTACAGCTGCACCTGTGACACTGGGTACATCCTTCCTGTTGGAGTCACAATGACAAGCATTTTATATCCATGTCAAAGTAAGGTCTTGTTTCACATAGTTGTTCTGTTGAATTTTCTCCCTTCTTTCTAGATCCTATTCTTTGATTTATAAAGTTAGCAAGTCTTGTTAAAATGATAATTCTTTAATTGGTTTTCCTTCATGGTTTCCTTCATGGTTTTAAGGATGATGTTTTCTAGAAACCTGAAGGTGACTGGTAAGACCAGCACAGAAACCACACACTCTATGGGAGATTAACGAGTGTGTCTCAGTAGATTTTAATCCCTCCTCTGTGTGGTCTGTTCATGGTGATGTCAAGAAAAATACTACACTCAGATCAACACTCCAGAATTGATTGCCAAAACATATATGTCCATCCATCCATTTTCTAAACACTTCTTCCAATTTGGGATCACATGGGAGCTGGAGCCTATCCCTGCAAGCCATGGGCACAAGCCAGGATATACTGTAGACATGAGACCAGTCCATCGCAGGACACACAGACAAATGCACACACATAGGGCCAACAGAATTCCACACTTTGCCATTATTTGCTGCATAGTTAACATCAGAGAGTTCAAGTCTGTATCTGTAGCAGCAATCCATGTGCTCACCAGTATCATCTCAGTGTAACTCAGCAGCATCCACTCCTGCAGCAACTGTGTAAAATCAGACACTTTAGAAAGGTTGGGAGAGTCAAATCATTAATTTCCTGAGTCGGAGAAGAGGGGGTTCATATCCCTTACCATTCGAACCTTGAATAGTACAAGAATGTAACAAAGTAATTTAATAACTAAAGGGATCCATAAAGAAATAAAACAACAAAGTAAGAACAGCAAATCATGTGTGAGAAAGTCATACCTGCTTTCATAGGAGCACTAAATTACATCCCTGAAATGCCCTAGAATTGCTTCTGATCAACCTGTCTATCAAAACATTGCCTTGATGACACAATCTGGCAAAAGATCAGTTCCACCTGTTCCAGTGGAATATATATATATATCAGTCTCAACAGTACCTCCCTCTTGTTTTGTTTCTAAGTTTCTGCATTCTTTCTAACATGTTTTGACTTCCTTGGCATCACTCTCTGCTTGAATTCTTGACCACTGCATTGAGATGGAATTAAACAACTGTGTTGATGAACCCAAATGCGGGATGAGAGATGCAAAACAAGGGAGCAGCAGGTGTGGGTAGCAGGCAAGGGAAAAGGGCAGAATGGTGATTAATATGCAGACAATTGTGATACCGGCAAACACAGTACAGAGCCATAGTCAGGGACAAAGCAAAGTTTATAGCCAAGTGGACACTATACCAAGATACTGAGGAAATCCAATCCAAGGTCCAGAAACAAGTCAAGTCCATAGCCAGAGACAGAGTACTAGGAGAATCCAAAGGCATGGATGGAATGTCAGCATGGTCAGGAATCCAGAAAGAAACACAGACAAGGAACGAAGCTTTAGAACTTATTAGTGGTTCAGGGCAAGATGATAAAGAGCAAAGCTTTTACCAGATCACAGAGCATTGTCAGAGCAGATCTAAATATCCTGAACCACCTGAAGTGGGAGTGGTAGTATATTGCCCACAGGTGATAGAGGTTTCCTGCCTGATCAAGTATCCACAGCAACAGGCAGTGACTGACAGGAGAGTGGAGGCATGGCCGGCTGCCATGCCAACACTAACTCACTGTGCAGTGCTCCAGAGGGATCAAGCATGATGATGTAAACTTTAAAATGACTACTTTTCCTTTTGTATTAGGATGTGGCTAAACTCTGGCACATTAAGTCAGGGAATTGTAAGCAATAAAGTCACTGCAATGAAAAACAATGCCATCTCTTCAAATGCAAATCAATGCTTTTTAAGCTTTGGTGGTGATGCCTAAAGAGTGATGTAGAAATCATGTCTTACAGGCAGAAATGAGTGTGTGAACAATGGTACCTCAGTCTGTGGGCCAAACGCACAGTGTATCATCAGCAGCCAGAGTTACAGGTGCTCCTGCAAAACAGGATTCATGCCACCATCTGGAGTCGTTGTGACAAGCTATTCAAACCCCTGTCAAGGTAATGATTATTTTTAGAGATTGTCAGAATTCAGTGATCATATATAGTACATAAATGGTTTTCCAAAAATAGTGTCTCATATTATTTAGAAGAAACAAATAGGTTTTATACCATATTCACATGATTATATGTAGTATGAAATTTATACAATTTTATAAAAGTTTGGGAAGCGGCTAACTTCCTTAACTTACCTACATCCATTCTCTTAAACATAAATACTGTATCTCACCTGCTTCATTCTCACACCCCTCTCTCCACCTAAACTTCACTCTTGCTGGATACTATGGCAAAAGGCAACATTCTTAAATGTAATCCCTTTTCTTTGATTGCTAAATACTTAATAGCTATCTTCAACCAGAAGGGCAGGGGTAGGTTATATACTATATAGCTACAGTTTCACTGTACAGTATTTTTAGGTTTTATTTTTATGGAACATTAATCATGTTTTTATAGAATTTCCCACATTTTTTTATCCAACCTTCACTTTTTGTTTTCATAATTTAGTATTTATACAGTAGATGCATGCTTCTCAGTGTTTTTCAATATATTTCTGAGTATTTGTGTATGGGAGAGAGTTCAAAAAGGCCAATATTTCTGTGATGAGGAATGCTGAAAAAGCATTGAGGGAAAAATGATTATGATAATGCATTCGATTCTTCATAGACATCGATGAGTGTGCAAGTACATCCTTATTATGTGGTCCAAACGCACAATGTATCAACACTCCAGGAAGTTACAGCTGCACCTGTGATACTGGATACACCCGTCCTGTTGGAATCACATTGACAAGCAAGTTTAATCCATGTCAAGGTGAGATCTGTTTTCACGTAGCTGCTGTCTTTAGTTTGCTCTCTTCTTTGCAGATCCGAAGACAAGACTCATGAAATCTATATAGTTAGGATTAAGTAATTGATTGAATGGCAGGTGATGGTCATGATATCAGGTCATGAAATGTGCAGTCTGGTCATAGTGAGCTTTCTGTTATCCAAAGGAGCTACTACTACTACTACTACTACTACTACTACTCAAATAATTAGCACATCTTCTTACTCTCTACTCAAAATATAAATAACATGTTTTATGTTCCCAATGAGTTTCTTATGTAAGCTATAAGACCACCTTTAAATTCAATAGCAATTCAATGCTATTTCAATTGAGAGCACTCTGGTGATGTTGAACATGGTCTTTTGCAGACATGAGTGTGTGCACAAACAAGAGCCCCTTGGTGTGTGGTCCAAATGCACAGTGTGTCATCAGTAACCAGAGCTACAGCTGCTCTTGCAACACTGGATACATCCCACCAATCGGAGTCACTCTGACCAGCTACATCAACCCATGTATAAGTAAGAACTTCTCGACAGGTTTGCTAGCTTTCAGCGATCAGAGAAAGTGGTTTTAAATGCCAATGGGACTGTACAAAGCTGATGATTAGAAGACACAAATCACTAAATGTTCTGCCATGACTGGTGGATCACCGTCATGTCCACATATGGTGGAGCTACACAGCGGCTATTAATATTACGGAGAACCCACCTGTGAGTCAAGAGAGAGACAAAATAGAGAAGCTGCTAGTAGTATTGTGTGCATGTTAGGCCAGGGACACAGGCAGAGTGTGGTGCAGGCAAACACAGTCCAGATCTGTGTTCAGAAGCAAGTGTGGCTCAAAGCCAGACACTGTGAAGGCACAAAGGGAATTCCCCTTGTGTAATCAACACAAGCAGACAACAAGGTTCATAGCACGAGAAATACAGTTATGAGGCACAAAGGGGCAAAAGCCGGAGACATGTTCAGAGCAAAGGAAGAGGCGAAGACATAGCACAAGGCAGGGAATTTGACAACTAGGAATGCAGGGAGGCTTCAAGAACTCATAGAGCAGAAAAAAAAGCCAAGCCTAATTTTGAGATGAGTTTTTTTCTCATCCATTAAAAGCCGTGTTCATTGTCAAAGAGGATTTTAATGAGGAACATGGTTATTCTATTCTGCTCAGAGTGCAGAGCATAGTTCGAGTAGACCTTAAGTAATCTGAACCACCTGAGGCAGGCATGGTCATAAATTGCCCAGGTTGGTACAGGTCTCCTGCATATCCATGGCGAGTGAGTCTGACAATCACATTTCACAGGTTGTATTATAAGTTACTGTAAGGCAAAATAGTTTTCCTGCATACATAATAGTGGCCTAAGAAGCACTATTTACCATTAAAAAATCAGTATATTTCCATTCAGTTTTTATTTCTGTTTAGTTGTGGCTGTTTAAATGCGTGAAACACCTTCAGTGCGTAGTTCAATCAGACCTGGGCAGCCGGTTAACTTGTCATTTTTATATAATAGCCAGAAATGAGTGTGTGTACAACAGCTCTTCAGTCTGTGGTCCAAATGCAAAGTGCACCACTACTGACCAGCAGTACCGCTGCTCCTGTGAAGCTGGATTCATTCCACCAATAGGAGTCACTGTGACCAGCAATTTGAACCCGTGTCTAGGTAAGAAATGTTCTTAGAGACTGCTAGCATTCAGTAATCCAAGAAATAAATATTCCATGGGTTAATAATATTCCAAGGATTAACATGATGCAATTCTTTAATGCATTGATTAGCTTTAAACACATAATCATTATAATAATTATTCATTAGAATAGTCGGAAGAATACAATATCATTATTTGTAGCATTTTCATAAAGTTATTATTGTTAGCAGGTTTATGTGCATGCAGATAGCATTTTGCAGTGTGGCTTGCCATATATTGTAGAAAATGTCTATTATGTAGAAATACAAGGAACAGTTCTGTAGGTTCAATAAAGTGAAATTAAACAAGTTTAATAAATAAAATGAGGCAGTGAAAACCTACATGAGTAACCCAAGGGCCACCCAATAAATTACAATTTCAGTATTGGATACATTCCACCTACTGATGTGACCACTCAGATGCCAACCTCATGTTGCTCTTTTCCTACTAAGAACAATTTGTAGTGCTATCCGCATGCAGCATTCATTTTAGTGGTTTTAAATCTTTCACAGCTGTGTTTTGTGTTCTTGTGGATTAGAAAAATAAAACAACATTTATAACATTTTCCCTAATTGAGTATAAATTAAACCTAAAATATGTCTAATAAGGATTTCGTCAGGAAAAAGACTCGCAGGTTCTAATGTGAAACTGTGGGAGTTTTCTTTCAAACCTGCCGGTGTCCACTAGGAGATAATGTGCCCACAATCACAAGACTGAATTTCAGCATTTTGAAAGAGACATATGTTTGTTTTTTACAAGGACATAAGGTAGATTTTCTGTTGTTTCGAAACTAGAATTTGCATGGATCTGAAAATCAAGTTCTAAAAGAATCTAAAGCTAAGGAAGATTGATCTACATGTGCTTTGTCTCTGCAAATGTTTTAATATGGGGGCAAAACGTTTTATTGCCTTACATACAGTAGCCTTACACAGCTCTCCAGGCTGAGCCACACCATAATGCAGTTTGTGAGTCAGAGTGAACCTTAATCAAATAACTGTAAAGAGCGATTTGATAAAACCACTTCTATGCTTCTACAGAATAAACCTAAAAAAAAGCCAAGCCTAATTTTAAGATGAGTTTTTTTCTCATCCATTTACAGCTGTGTTTATTATCAAAGAGGAGTTTAATGAGGGACATGGTTATTCTGTTCTGACACAGAAGTCAAGAGAGAATTGTGGGTGACATCCATTGACAAATTTCTCAGACAATAACTACCATACCCCAGATGCTGAGCAAGTACACAAAAGGAAGCAAAAAAGATTTAACTGTACCCCAGATGGATGAAGAATACACAGTTCACAGAACAAGGGACAATGTTCAGAATTTTCTTTATCCTGAAAATGAACAATGTGCTGATTAGCAGGCAGGCAGTGAGGCTTGGAGAAGTAGACTAAGCTCTTCTGACTTAAGTTTTCTCTCTCACTATGGGTCAGTGATTCTTTGTTATGTCACAGCTAGGAACAGGGCTGTACTGAGATTCAACATTCAAATTCAGGCAGGGGTGGATCCTAATGACCCTGTAATGAGGAGTGCCATTCAAAAACAGGTAGGAATACCAACGAACCAGATCTTTTATTAAAGGAACATGTTTTTCACCCATCTGCAATCCGCCCATATTGGCTTGCTATCCAATTTGGTGATTTCCAGTATTAAAAAACTGACACGTACAGTGCCTTGCAAGTGTATCCCGACTTTTGCACATTTTTTATACCTCATTAAATCTGCCAGTTCTGACACTTTGAAGTGGAAATTCATATTTTTACAGTATATAAACAATCTTCTCCACAAATTCAAAGCAAAAAAGAAAGGAGTAGACAATTAATTTAAATTAATATAATATAAAAATAAAAAAAACTCAAGATTGGTTAAGTAATCAGACACTTGGCTGTGGTTAAGGGTGGTAAACTTAATTCATCTAGGTGCTGACAATTGCTTTGATCTCTGTCTCTGTACAATAAAAAGTATGTTCTGAAGTCATTTGAGTAACTACCTCTGTAAGTTCCCTCATTCAGAATTTCAAGCACAGATTCATTCATGAAGACCGCAAACCTTACAAAACAACAAGCTTGTCCAGCAAATAACGTGTATTGTTTTTTTTTAGGCTCTAGTGGAACTGTCCAAGCGTCTTCCTATGAAAGGTATGATGGTGTACTGGAGGAATCGGGGAGGTCAGATTTTCCATAAGGAAAAGGAAGAAGGTGAGAGAACTGGACTGGTTCGGTTTGTAAATCACTGAGAAGCCTGTTCGTCTTCTACCTGTGAAATGGCTTATTTCTAAGCTCTGTTGAATTGTTTATTTGACAGGTCAGTGTGTGACCCAGTGAAACTCGACAAGTCTGAAAGCAGTTGCATCACCAAGCAATAACTGCCACCTTACTGCCTAAGATTGCTCTAGGATTCTGGGAGATGTTTTTGCCAGTGTATTTAACACCTATCACTCATTAAATCACATACCGTGTGCAAATGTCGAATGTGTTTTGTCATAAATATTAAGGCTATTTCATTTTACCTTTATAGAGATGTTTACCTATGTTAAAGGCAATCAACAAAGGTCCATGGTCAAGAAGGTATTTTTTATTACTTTTTCCTCTCTACGTTCACATGTGGAATTTTCCCATCATTCCATATGGTCATAAAACTACCTGGGGAATTTTCATCCTCTGTTGGATGAAATTGCTATAGATTACCATGCTGACATGAGGAACATACTACGTATATCAGTGCGTGCATACTAATAAATAGGTTTCTTTATATTTCACCCAATTTAACCATACTGCATTCTTAATTCTCAAACAAGCAATGCAATTTGCTTATTAGAATTATTCAATCATGGAAGGCATACAGTATCATCAGCCTTTGTTCATTACTGCTTTGCCCTTATCTCCATTGTCTCTACATTGTTTTTTAATGTACATCTTATTACCTACTGCCACACTTGCATCAATCATCCATCTTATACTGACCTTACAGTCAGTTTCTCACTTTTTTTCTATCTTGTTTACTTTGTGATGATGCCAGTACACTAGATATCAATCTTCATATTATCAAGCCTTATAATGACTCTTTCCCACTCAGAAGCAAGGACTCCATCATGAATAGCAACTATTAAGTTTTCCCATGACTTTCTCGACGGGCTGATCCTGTTTGACCAGGTTTAGTGTTCATTAAAAAAAGAAAACCATGTGCATGACACAGCAGAAGCTGCTTGTTTGTTTGTTTTTTGGTAACTACCACCTACAACCACATGTCTGTCTATTAATGTGAAAGCCAGGGAATACTCAGGACTCCTGAGAATGTTCTCTAGACCCCTCTTTCTCTCTTTCATTTATAAGCTCAAAAGCATGCAGCTACACTGGTTAACAATGCATACAGTAACTCTCCCTCCTGTCAACCCTGATTCAGCTGAACCATCCTGAGCCTCTGCTACACACTTCATCCTCTTTGAGCCTGACAAAGAAATTAGCCAATGTCCACCTGTCCAGCACCTGCAAAGCACCTCAGTGTTTTGCAGACCCAAAGTGTTTTTTGTAAGTAACTTACACTCTCTAGCCTATAAGTCAAAATAATCTAAAACTATAGGAACTCTCCCACCACACAGTACAGGTCTCAGATACTCTGTCCTATTATGCCACAGACTGTTACTTTGGTCTCCAAGCTGTTCTTAATACGCCTCGCAAAACAGCCCAGAGGAGCCCATATTGGCTTGCTATGCAAGTTGGTGATTTCCTATATTAAGTGCCTTCCAAAACATCCAGACTTTTGCACATTTTTTTATACCTCATTAAATCTGCTCGTTCTGATACTTTGAAGTGGAAATTCATATTTTTACAAAATATGAATAAAAAACAGAGCCTATCACACTTGCACCTCACGTGAGTTGTCTCTGAGAGTTAATAACTCATTTAGAGCATTCTTGAGATTCCCTCAACAGTCTGCAATCTTCATATGTATATTTGGCAAATTGTTTAAGATAAGGGCCTGTGTTAAGCAAATAAATAATCAAATTCTTCCCTTCAAATTATTATATCAGTTAGAGTTTAGTTGTGTTCTGTGTTTGTGTTTGTATTATCATTTTAACTGCTAATTCTTATTATATACATGTTAATATAAGTATAAAACATCTTTCTTCTTTACATAAAAATATGGCAGAAGGTATAATGTTTTCTCCCAAAAATTGACCTTTATAACAAACATTCTTGTATCTTTAAGTCTCTAAGCAAACATTTAATTTCCATTAGCACTGTTCTCCACACTGTCTGAGTGCAGTCATATGCAGTCAATGTACAATGTACTCATAGAACTGTAGGTAATCTAGCAGGATCATCTTAAGAACTGGGGTGATGGTTGTATTAAAGTGCTTCACTGTTATGGAATGGAAAGGTGCTGTTATTCTGGAACAGTAAGGGAAGCAGTGCCTACCTTTGTTAATGGGCGATTTGGATTGTGTCATGGTTCAGTGCAGCAGCCATTACTCTTCATCATTTGCATTAATTATATCGATCACAGTACCATCAGAAAATTGGCTCATGATAAACACTGAAGGTCAACATTCAAACATAATTCTGGACAATTCTAAGATGACTTTCAAAAATGGGCTGATTATGAACAAAAAAGAGTGCAACATACCTCCTTTACTGTTCCAGATGGGAAAGACATAACAATGTATAATGCATTGAAAACAACATGAAGTCGTTAACACATAAGAAAAATACATGCATACATTGAAAAAAATTTTTTCAGCTTTCATCAAGTCTCACAATTTAGAAAGACAAATAAAGAGGTTGGGTCATTAGTGCAAGACACATATACTGTACATAAGATTACATGTGTGGTGAAAAAATAAATAAAATATAAAAGCAGGTCAATTGCCTTGGGAAAAAGAATAAAAAGTTATATTGCATTTGAATCTGGGTAGGTAGTCTAAATCAAAGTCCTGATGCAAAGAGTTCAAATTATCTGTGCAAGGGATGGTCATATTGGTCAATAATTATACTGGCCTTCTGCAATAAGAGAAACGTAAATTAACATATTGTCAATTTTAAAATTGGAAGATTTCTTTGAAATATCTAGATATTTGAAAATATTTATTCTATATGAAATAAATGTTTAAAGCTGATTTTGATAATTTAGTTCAATCATCATTGACAAAATCTTTGAAAGGTACTGAAGGAAGACGAACATACAAATAGGATGCTTGGATACATAACATAATGTACAGGACACGAGAGGAAACAGATTATGATGACACTGCACAATACACTAGCTAAACAAGACATGGAATCCAATAGAATTCAGCATACAGTTATAATCTCCACACTATAATAAGGATACTGCATATTGAATCCTTAAAGCAAGACCAAATAAGGATGGTAAGACCCATTCATCAAGTGTTCCTATATTTCTATGATCTTAAAGAGTACAAATGTCCCCAGTGGCCAAAATATTGGGAACTCACGAGACATAGTGCACTGGGTCTCTCTAAAAAACAAGAACAGCTGGGACCAACCTCATACAGTTCGTACTGTATTTGAAGCACAGTCTAGACTTCGACATTTACTTTTGAAATGGTTCTTATTTTTTCATCCACATCAACAGTGTTATTCTAATTTGAGTGACAGTAGAAAGCTTTCTTGAAGCTCACCAACATCAGAAATAATCTTTATATGTATTATTCAGTGGGACCCAGTTCCAGCTAGTAGCAGACAAAGGGGTGTTGCTGATAGCAGCAGATATTATACCAGAGGTAGTCACCATTTGAGCCCCGCCTCGCCACCCCACACATCTCATCAATGGAGTTGTTGGGCTGCCCTACTGCCCATTGGTAGAACTTTGCTGGGCGATCATCACTCCAGTACCACTGCTGCCAGATAGAGTGCTTCTTCAGGCCCAGCCACACCCACTCTGGAAAAGAGGTTTCGTTCCTTATAGTCTTGAGAAGCTGCTGGTGTTCAAGCTGGTCCGTGACGCTCACCAGGTTAGAAGAATTAAGGAGGCAGTATCGCAGGGCTTCCATCCAGTTTCTTCTCTCCTTCACAAATCTCAGTTTCCTCTTACTATCTGAAAATGCAAGAATATGATAGAGTATGGATGACTTCTTCAGCTGAAGCTATGGGCAATGGAGAATACTCTCATGGCTCTCCCTGGTAATCACTGATGTGGTTTTGAGTATGATGGGGTCCTTTAAGTTTTGGGGAATTATGATTTTTAATACCCTTACATAGGACAGGAATGTCACCAGTATCACAAAGAAAGCATGGCAGAAAATGGACTTTTTGTGCCAATTAAAAATCAGCTTTTCAGAGCCATAAGTGAGTGGATTCTGACTGCCTCTTCAACTGTGCAGTTTTCTTTGGAGTCTGCCCACTCCTAAGGAAAGCTGCAGTATGAAGATGCAGAGAAGATCATTGGCTATCATTCTGTCCTCCCTTGCTGATTTGTACAATTTCACAGCAAAGAAGGGAGCAGGAATGATTGTTGATGACCTCATCCACCCAGGCTATCATCTGTTTCAGAAACTCCCCTCAGGAAGACACTTGTTGTCTATTAAACCCAGAAACATTCGGTATTTGAACAGCTTCTTTCCTAGGGCTGTCTTTTTGCCTGAATTCCTTGTTGT